TTTTCCCTAGCAACTTTTTTCTGTAAGTCTATCTTAAAAAGAGCTCTGTTTCATTTGACTTTTAGAACCCTCTTTTTGCCCTTTCCACTTTTACCCTTTATATGAGGCAGGCATGAATAATTTTCCTCATTGGCATGTTCTGTACTATTTAACATTTAGCAGTTTGTGATAAATCACTCAAAAGTGCCTCTTCTTCCACAGTAACAAGTGTCTGTTCTTGAGGGATCTGTCTGATTTCAAACTTCTGAAGGCACCCAGGAAGTTGCAGCCCTCAGAGTGGTTTGGTTTTGTTTTATTTTGTTTTGATTTTGTTTTATTTTAGCTAGTGCTTCTTACAATTGTGAGCTCTGTGGCCTTGTGGCTAAAGAGTTGCACTGACAACCTAGAAACATTTGGTTCAAACCCACTAGTTGCTCCAATGGAGAAAGAAGGGCAGTCTCCTCTGGTGTGATTTACTGCCTCTGAAAATATACAGAGGATCAACTATGAGTTGGTTCCCACTTGATGATACAGAACAACATGTAGTCAGCTTTGGTGGCATGGCCTGAAGTGATTGTGCGCCTTGCCCAAAGACAATATTCTCTCTAGTGGTTCCAACCCACCTGCAGGGGAGGATGATGGACAGTCTTCTCCCTTTGGGATTTACAGCCTTAGAAACCTGATGGAGGGTCCCTAGGAGCTGGTGTCAACTCCACAGCAATGAGTTTTGCCCTTTTTAAATTTACAATTCAGAAAAAATTGCACACCCTCCCCAAGCACACATTTCATGTGTGTGGGATACATACGGGTGCTTAACTAACTGAAATTTGAAATTAAATTATAATTGAACTTTAATTGAGTGAGGATACGCCGTCTCAGCATTGCTTCAGGTGTGAAGGAGTTAGGAGTAAATTGTTGGATATATATTAACAGCCAAGAGAAATGGAATCTCAATTTTTGTTTTAATCTGAACTTTTTTTGTTCGGTAGGTGGCCCAGGCAGATAGTGTCGTCCATTGGCCTGTGCCGTTATGGAGGAAGGATTGATTGCTGCTGGGGCTGGGCTCACCAGTCCTGGGGACAGTGTCAGCGTGAGTATCTGCCTAGACCTTCGCCACTTGGGTGGTGGGACTTTCCACCAATCATGGCATCACTCCATATACCAGAGGGCTTGGTACTGAGTAGAGATTGGTGGTGTGGGTCTGGCACGTGATTTTTGGGGAATGACCCCTTCCCTATCCCCTTATTCTGCTCTTCACACTCTCGCCCAACTTTATTAAAGTGCCAGCTTTGTTGCCCTCATTTCAGCATTTGTGCCCAATGTCTCCATCTCCTGTTTTCTCATCAGCCTTCCCCCTTTCTTTGCTTTAGGCTTTGAGATGCAGATGAGATAAGGAGTCTAGACTGTATTTACACTAAATAAAACCTGGGCTGCACAGCACTTAAAAGATCGTACCACAGCTGTGAGCTAGGCTAGTCCCTTTTCTCAGTCTGTTTTTCTGTTTTTGAAGTGAGGTTGTAGTGACTGTATTTTAAATGGGCCACCCAGTATAATCAAATAAAACCTGGGGGGGGCAGGAAATTAAGTTCTCTAAGTAATCAGCATCATGTAAGTGGTGAGGAGTTGCACCACTGACTCAAAGGCAGGTGATTCAAATCCACCATCTCCTCCAAGGTAGCAAGGTGGGCAGTCTCCTTCCTGACATTTATAGCTTTTTGAAAACCCACTGGAGGGTCAGGTATGTGTTGGTTCCACCTAACAATAATAAACCAGAACACTCGTTTTGTCTTTGCCAAGATCCAAATGTGTATTTTAATGGCAAAATTCAAAGCCATATAACAAGAGTTTTGAGAAATTAAGAAAGAAAATGTTTTTCGCTGGTATTTCAACTGGAGCTTCTGTTTTATTCATTCCCATTAGCTCTCCTACTCCCTCGCCTGCACCATTCACAAGCAGCCAGATGTATTTCTGGGATATTGCTAAGCCATTCAGTTGACAGGTCCAGTGAAATGATGGGAACTAAGTTGTTTCCTTATGAGAATGTATGTTCATGGCAATACCATGAGTTAGGGTCTCAGGGCACTAGAGAAAGGTACTTTAGAAGCCGAAAAGGAGAGATCTGCTTTATGGATATGTTGGCAGTATCAGGAATCAGGTCAATTTAAGTTGAGGAAGGTTAGGAATTCCCTCAACTGTTTTAATCTTGGAGAAGTTCCTATGTTCTCTATCCTTAATGTTGTGAAAGATGAAAGAATCACAGTTATAGGTCTGTAAGATGAGGATGGTAAAGTCAAGGGATTATTGCTTAGCGCATCTGCAAGCCACAGAACCAGACATGGTGCATGTTGTTGGGGGGAAGCTATATTAGTTACTGTTCCCCACTGGTTAGCTCACTTAACATTGTGTTAAAGGAAAGGTAGCCAAAAAAAAAGAAGACAGATGCCAGGTGGAATTTAGTCTTCTGCAAGTATCAGGATATATAGCCAGAGATCACAGATACGGGATTTAAAATCACAGTAGATTTTGACAGCCAAAGGGTGACGAGAAGACCATTCTCATGGACACATCCCCTCCCACCCCCAACAACATACATTTCTCCTGAATGAAAGTCCTGTAGTTTCTTTGCAACAATGGAGACACAGTCTTCCTTCTTTGCTGCCTTCATTGTAGGATGCTTCCAAAGGTGAGTGTTGAATTATTCTGAGGTGCCTCCAGTTCCGGAGCCCTGACCAGGACTGCCTTGGCCATGTGCCTGGAGTGCACCTTCCCAGAAGGCACAGTGCCAGGCAGCGTAGAGAGGTGTAGGAGTGCTTGTGCCCTCTGCCTGATGTGCTGGAGAATTTAAAAAGATAAGGCTTTGTGTTTAAGAACACAAACTTTCCCCACTATGGAATTCTGCAGGAAAAATTAAGCCTTTAAGAGTTATTCTCTTTATTATGCAATTTCATTTTCTGTGCTATGAACTAGGACCTGTGCTGCCAACTTGAAGGTACACAATTCAAATATACCAGTTACTTCAACGGAGATAGGTGGGCTTTCTCCTCCCATGCGATTTCCTGTCTCTGAAAACCCACTGGAGTGTCAGCTATGAGTCGGTTCTGACTTGTTAGGACATAACTACCATAAATTAGCATAGACATTCTAAATTTGAATGAGTGAAAAGATCTTTCAAAGATAAAGCAGCATTACAAAATATAAAATCTCCGAGGTGTTTCCTAATTACTTCTCTTCTTTCACAAAAAAGAAAGGGTACTATTTCTTCTACCTTTCTTAGAAGATATGGAGTGTGCACAGCTTTGTTGTTTTTTTACACCTTAATTTTGTTTCCAAAAAATGTACTGAGGTTACACGTTGTTGTTGTTAGGTGTCATCAACTCCAAATCAAAGTGACCCTGTGTACAACAGCTGTGAACCCTGCTTTATCATGAGTCAATTTCATCATCTCTGACACACTTACCCTCATTACCCTAGTCACTGAATCAATCCATCTCATCCAGGATCTTCCTTTTTTGTGCTGTTCCTCCACCCGTCCAAGCATGATGTTCCTCTCCAAGGACTGGCTGATCATTGCAACAGGCCCAAAGTATATCAGACAAAGCTTCAAACTCCAATTTGCCTTTTCCTTCTTTTTCCTCAAGAATCTAAGGAAATGGCTACATGATGTTTGTGTTGTTGATTGCCATCGAGTTGAGCATGACTCGTAGTGACTCTCCGAACAAAAGACCTAATGCTTTTCCATAGCTATCATTGTTTCTTCAAGTTCATAGAGTTTCCAGAGGCATGTGGTTTAGGAAGTGGATGCCACTCCTTCTTCCAAACCTATTTTACAACTGGGAGCTCCTCCAAACACTGTCCACAGTAGGAAATGATTATGGTATTTGATAGCCCCATGGCACAAGGTTCAGCATTATAGCAAACCCAGGTTATTTTATACAGCACATTGACAAAGAATGATATGCAAAGTGCAAGAATATTCCTCCAGATATAATAGCACTAGTCTTATTTTTTGTTGTTGTTAAGTGCCGTCGAGTCGCAGGCGACTCATATCAACCCTATGAAGGAGAGTCCTCAACGGTTGGGTGCCTTTCATCCTCTCTCCAGGTTCATAAGGTCTCCGGAGGCAAGCTATTATGGAAGTGGATGCCACTCCTCCTTCCAAGCTTGTTTTAATCGGGGAGCTCCACCCCACTCTCTGTCCGCATTGGGTAGCCAGCCTTTAATGCATTTGACACATCCGTGTCTCAGTGTTCAGCCTCACAGCAACCACAAGTGACCCCGGGACGGCAACTTGTACACCAGG